GCTGTTAAAGTTATCTCCTGACCAACTTTATTGAATCAGTTTGGGTTAGTAAAAGAGATTGAGCCAACAGCTATTTCCCTCACACAGGCCTGCTGCTCATGAACAAAACAGCTCCCTGAAGAGCACGAACAGATTTCATTGAGGAACATGCTAATAAAAGCTGGATGAGTTTCCCTCATTAGGTGTAATTACTTTAGATTTTGCAGGCTGTCTTCTATGGGGTGTCCTTCCTGGCTGATGTGTTGAGACTAATTAAGAAACTGCGATGTGCTAAGTGCATAATTTCCAGCAGAGACCTTCTTTTCAGTGTCCTGGCTTTCCCAGTGTCCACAGTAAGTACCCTTTGTCTCTGTATGTGAAAATAACTTTTGCATAAATGATTAGGGGTCTGTAGTACCAGAAGCATGTGTATGAAATAGATAAGAACTAAACGTTTTCTTTTACCATTGAATTTGGAATGGATTTGGACCATTTAGAAGAAGAAACAATGCTGAGCCTGTCGTGGTTGAGAGCAAAGCCTCTTGCACAAACATGAGGGTTGCTGTCCTCAAGTGGACACAGATTGACCCCAAAGGGTGAATGAGGTGCAACCTCTCTGTTAATCTCATGGTCCAAATAGCTGTGGATTTATCAACTTAGGGCTTTTCTCTAAAGGGCAGCACAGGTCAGGAGGACACAAGAGGGTACCTAAGAGGCAGCAAAACCTCACATCTCCTTCTTTGATGCCAGAGTAACTTTAAATAAGCACTGGAGAGAAACAGCTTCACGGAGAAAATAATTATAGTTACAGCCTACGTCAGATTCATCATGGATCACCTACTCCCTCACAGACAATGCTGTTTATCAAAATGCTGTGGGTTGGACAGGAACTGATGGGTTATTTTTACATGTAGGTACTCTCTGTGAGAGTGATGCCTGCAGCCAGTACTTAATCTCAGAGGGCTGAGAAGCACTGCTTAAACATGGTCCACAAGCAGCTCAGCTAGCTGGCTCCATAAAAAAGCCCTGCCAGGGATGGAGTCAGGGTGTTCATTATGCTGCTCTCATATCCTGCCAGGCATCCTCACCATGCCTGCAGGGCTGTGGCACAGGCTCACTCTTTCAGCATCTCACACCCCTGATTTCTAGCCCCAAGCACAAAGTGTGCTCAAATACAAAGCCAGGCCAAAATTGCAAATCAGCTCCCAGGTATCAGTAACTGATACCAGGGATCATTTCCTTCAGTTAAGTTGTCCCACTGTAATTCCTGATTTATTGGGGGAAAAAATGGGTGCCCACAGTGTGCAGCTTTCACCTGCAGTTTAGGAATTATGCTTATGAGATGTGAAGGTAAAGAGTAAGTTTATGTGAACTGCCTTATCAAGATCTGGTTTTACTTTTCTTACTGAGCAAAATAAAGACTTAACACACAGTCCCTTGAGGAGAACTACTTGACCATTAGAAGATCCCATCTGCAAAGGGAAAGGGAAAGAGGGGAAAAAAAAGCATCAGCTAATCTCAGATTCCACAGAAAATGTCAGTGTTGGCAGTTTATAAAGCAGGGTTTTTTTTCTCTCAGTATCAACACAGAACACTGCATCTCTGAGTAAATGTGAGATAACATGAGTTTATCTGGCAGTGTCATCATTTTTCATGTAAAAAAAGCATGGAGACATTTTGCCTTCTCAGAAATGAAAGCACTAACCAAATCCTAGCAGTTATGTTTGTCTTCCATTTTAAAATTTCTTTCATTTTGCATTTTGGTTCCAGTTTGTGTGTGTATCCTTTTGGACACTGTATACCTACAACAGAGAGCTGGTTTACCCCAAAAGCCTCGATGGAGTCATCCCGCTCTGGTTAAATCATGCTATGGTGAGTAAGAAACACCTCAGCCTCTTACAGAGAAAAGGGAGACTTTGCAACGTGTGCCCCACCACTGCATTGTCCTGTTTTCCAGAAGAGCTTCACAGCTTTTCCGTTCTCACCTCCTCCTTGCTGCTTATCTGAATCTGATGTTGAGCTGTATGTAGCAATCAGATGTGTGTGCTTGAAGCTGCCTCAAGAAGCCTTTTAGCACACAAGGAGCGTCAGCTAATCGGTGCTTGTCAAACCTCTGAAGTCAATGAAATGATGTGTAGTCATAAGGAAAGAAAATCTCACTTATTGTAGCTCAAAAAAGAAATTGTGTCTGCTAACTTAAGTCTCTGAAATACAAAATGGCTGTGAATGTAACAAAGCAGCCCCTCATTTTTAAAAAAGGTGAAATAACAAAAGAGAATCTGACAGCTCTACAGCTAATAAGCTAATGTGTGCACAGCTTTGAATAGCTGGATTGCAATGATTGTTTACAGATTTTCTATAAATACTTTCCAGATTTCTCCTTCATTTGCTCTGGCCGTTTTTATGATGTGTTGAATAATCACATATTTCTCATCAGTCAAGTGAAAGGAGGCTGACAGTAACATGGAAACTGTGGGTGGATTGCAAGGTCAGGGAGGCCTCGTGGGACGAATGGGAAGTGGGAGAGAAGGGAGAGGTTCAGCTCTAGGCTGAATCAGAGAAGCCAAAAAGTATGAAATAATCACATAGAAGACTCATTTCTCTCCAGACTTCATTTCTTAAGAACAGTGCCTTGCCATCCACTGCAGTGGATGTACCCAGTGAGTGTTGAAGGCAAATCTAGGAGGGTTTGGGGTGTCTGGCTGAGGACAGCTCAAGGTTTGAGCAGCCCCTTGATTTAGACAGGTGCATTCAGAGTGGCGTGACTGGAATCCAAACGCACAGAGGCATGTCCGCATTGCTGATACCCGAGTGGTGAACCACAGCCATCATGCACTTTTAACCTCATCACCTGCTCTCTGTCCACCAATTCATTTCCACCAGGACCTTTCTGTGGCTGTCCAAACCTTTGCACAGGTGCAAAAGGGTTCTGCTCTTTCTGAAAACCATCATCCACCAAAATGAAAGATTCTTTATGTCCTCAGCATCATGCTAATTTCAGGTCCGGGATTTAGTATGGGGCACTGGTTTAAAATCCTCACAGTGGTGGAGGTGCTGAGCAAGGGGGGAGGGGGGGAGTAGCACAAAGTGAAGCTCAGAGAAGATAGGCTTTGCTGCTTGTTTTAATCCTGGCTCACAGCTGAGAATTTGCCCTTTCCAATTCCATATTTGTTTATGACATCGGAAGGTTGAGAGGTGTTAGGGCATACATTTTTATTTCATGTGCAAGAACTCTTTTCAGGAACCCCTCAAACATCTACATTTCATAACAGAATCATTTTGACTACAATAAAAAGCTTTTCTGTATCAGAAGTGTCAAAAACAGGTGTTAAAAAGGAAAAACAATTCTTCCTGAAAATTATTTTGACGAGAGAGAAACTTCACATAAAGCAAACCTCTATCACAACCTGATATTTTATTTCTGAAGCTCTTAATACACTGCAGACATCTTGTGCTTGACAGTTCCTGGGTAGGAAATTTTCCTTCCAGTCACTATCAAGCATAAAACATCTGCCATCAGTGTAGACTGATCCCTGCTATTGACAATCGTTGTGTTTTAGAACACCTTCCAACAGGTGCCTTCAGGCTTAGCTGAGGCATTTTCTTCTTCCAACACAAAATATCTGCTGGAGACACTAAGGAGATCCAGGGACACTTTAAGTGACAATCTCCAAGTTCTGATTGCCAAGCAGATGCTTTTTCTTTGGGTTCCTTTCCTTGCATATTGCTGTTACATTATGGCTCTGAGATTACAGGCATTTCATGGCAGATTGAAGCAGCATGTAGCTGGCTTTGGAGGAGAAAGACATGGGTGTATCAGTAGTAACCATCAGTGCCATATCATTTGCAGTGGGAGTACTTTTTTTTTTTAAATCTCAGTCTATTTTAATGTTGTACATAGGGAAAGCATATGTTGTTATGTAACTGGAGAGTGAGCCTAAAAAATAACCATGCAAACCCACTTCAGGAATATTGAGCTCCTTGGCTTTGTAGTGATGCTGCAGCACCTTCCTTGCAGAAATGAATAACAATTTTTTTCCTCACATGAACTGCTCTTACAATGGGAAAGAGTTGTTGTTGCCCACCTGCTAGCCCAGAGTTGCAGAGTGAGTGCTACAATTTACTCATGTTTTTGCACTCTGAACAGAAACATTTTGTTTTGCAGATGGGATGGTTAATGTAGAAAGGAATTTTGCTCATAGTTGAAGGAGACCAAATATTCCAGACTATCTAGGTTTCTCTCTTTGCTTTTCTACTGAGTTTAACCCAAAAGCTGGGCTTCAGTTTCCACTTCTCTTTGCCTGGGATAATTATGTTTTACCATCTTTAAACCTTGACCTCCGGGGATGAAAAAAATCCACTCTACTTATGTCTCAAACACAACTATTTTATTTGAACAAGATTTTTGAAGTGGAAGATGGCTGAGACAAAAGATACGCTGGCCAATTCATCAAGTGAATTTGTTTATTTCTTTCCCAGTCATCGCTTTTCAAGCAACATCTGGATACTCTCCAGAAGGAGACTAACTGCTGGAGACAGCTTGGATTAAACCATGTGCATGTATTATTCAACTTAATGGCAGTATTGGAGAACACTACACTTTGAAAGGTCTGACAGAATTGAATGCTAAATAAAGTGGGCCACTGGTGGGTCAGAAGAGATAACTCAAAAACATTTTTGATCTATAACAAAAGATACATATAAATGTTGAGCAGATGTGTTCACAAAAATAGAAATGGTACAATTGTGTTTTGTAAAAGAAGATTTATATTTTCAGTCTGTTGGCACAGTTTTCTTTATTTTCAGACTGCAGCTAAGTTGAGTTTGGCCACCTCTTTTTCTAATTTACCCTGTAGCTGTGTTACGCTTTCACCTTTACAAAAAACCAGCATTTTAGTTCCATGGGCGCTCTACTGACACATGGTTATGAATTGTGCATGTTCAGAAGATATTGTAAGCTATAAAGCTGACAATAGACAAGGAAGGAAGGTAAATGGAAGCTCAGAAGAAACATCTCTTACCTGGCAGACTTTCAGCAAAGATGACAACAAATTCCCCATTGCCTGAGCTTCTGAAGCTCCTTTGCACTTTGCTCTGTTGTGGCTAAGCTGTACCTGAAAATAAAAAACGAAAACGTAAGGGAGTGAGAGAGCAAGCAAGGTACATACAAGTAATTTTCCTTCACTGAAGCAGGCCACTGATGCCTTGACAGTAGGAGTACCAGCAGGACTCACTATGTCCCCTCTCATCTTGGATCTTCTTGGTATGTACAAGCTGCTTGTGTTCTGCCTACCTAGCTATACCTCACCTTCCCCAGTGCGGGCACATCTACATCAACAGAAATGGTATTTTGGATCAGTGTGATTTACATCCATCTGGAAAAAATGTAAGTTATGTAATATAAGTTACTCTTACCCTCATGTGAGGGTATCTGTGTGAAGGATTACATCTTACTACAGCTATTTCAGGAAGCTGTTGCGTCACTAACCAAAAAAGGGGGCGCAAATTCAGTTTGTAGGGCAGAACCCTTTTGTCCAGGCCACTCTAACTTGACTCCTACTCCAGGTGTGTACACAAGAACAACCTCAGGTTCATCTTTGGCCATCTTAAACGATTCTCTTTGCAAGCATTATTTAATGCTTAATAATTCTTGCATATTTACACAAGGGAGAAACATTTCCATTTGTTTGCATTTCACAGTATCTCAATTTTAAGCTGTCTGGCAACTATGGACATTCACAGGCTGCCAATTACATTCAGCTTTTGGCAAAAGAAGAAGAATGTGTGTGTGAGGAATATGGCACACAAAATTAATCACCCCACACATTCAAGAGCAAAGATGCTTAGCTTTTCCCAGCACTACACAGATTTTTTTGAAGTTTCCATTTTTGTTGACATAAGCCCATTTCCTCAGGGAGAAAGTATGTGTTTCACAGACAAATGTTATGGCAGGGAATCCTCCCGGGCTGCTGCTACCCCAGCGTGCGCAGGTGCAGTCTCCGTAACCCTCCCTGCACAGGAACAGCTGGAGAAAAATATTCCACAGCAAAGGATGTGTCACTTCAGTCTCATGTCAGCCTCCAGCTGCAGTGCAACATCAGTTTCTTAGACTACATATCTAATGTCAGGGAGAAAGGCAATTAAAATTCTGGCATTGACATTGAGACAAAACATTTGCTAGTAAGCAATGGGATATTCAGCCAGGGCCTTATTCCCAAAAATGCATGTGTGCAGGCAAGAAAATATCTCTGAAGATCTTTTACCTTTGATCATACAATTGGTCTAATGTTTCATCCATTTTTCACTATAATGTTCCCAAACTACCTACACGTCTAAGAAAAAAAATTGTTGCTTTACAGGTGAGAATGAATGGATCTGGAAAGGGCAGAAACAGGTAGTAGCTGATGGTTCAGAGAGGAATGCTGCTGGAATTAAATTGAGCAATAGCTTCCCCACTAATCTGCCACACACCTGCTCAGTAACAGGACTCCCCGTGCCTCCTGCTCTATCCATAAAATAAATCCGTGGTTCCCTGAAAATGCACTGATGGTTGGAAACACAAAAGACATGTAGCAACCCTAAGAGAGAATTATATCTTCAACTAAACATGGCAAGGTACTAGTTAAAGAAATAAAATGAACAATAAAACTTAAGCCCCTTCCACCCTGAAAAATGAAGAGAGGTTAAGGGAAGAAGAAAAATGTATAGGGAAAGATTGCAAAAGAAAATTTTGAAGGAGGCATTTGAACACAGACAAAATAATAGCAAAATAAATCAAAAGAGGGAATTAGTTCCAAAATTAAGCCAAGAAAGTAGAGACCATACAGAGATTTGGAAAATTATGAGTATAAAAACTAAACAGAGGTTATGGTGACAGGAAGCCATTTAGTTTTATTATGCTCAGAAAATACAGGCTGTAATTGTTCATGAAAGCCATCCAACTGAAGGAAATTTCCATAGACAAGGAGACATTTTCCAACAAAGAGCTGAGTATCTGAGTAAACACCTCAAGGGACATCCAATGAACACTGGCTTATGAGCCTCATAAGGCAACACCAAAGTGGGTTTTTCCTTTTACTTTGCAGTAACATACCGATGGGGAAGAGAGAAGCACGAGTATTGGCCACAACTGCTTGTCAGCACACAGGCTCTGCGGGGAATTGGTCTGAAAGGAGAAGCACAGGCAGTTTTTCAAAAGCACTTGATGGTCTCCAACTGTGCCCAGTGGAGTTTAGTTTGGCCAGTGGTAACTGTTTGTGAAAAGATTCCTCCCTAAAGTCTCACATGTTAATGGAAAGCAGACATGGAGGGTATGTAAATGCAGACGAATTAGAAACAAACAGCTCTGGTCAAGCGAGGCATCATTTCTTTCGCTCCGGAGTCAAACAAGGTCACACCGAGTCAGCTGCGACACACGCGTCAGGAGCACCAGTGATCTCAGCAGCTCTGGGGAGGCTTTTCATGGGCTCAAAGCTCAGCCCAGGCTGGAGCCTGCAGCTGAGCACAAACTCTACCCAACCCTGCCTTCTCAGCCCCAGGAAGCTCGCTCTTACTTGAATTCTCAACGGCGAAATGAGGATATAGCATTAAATAAATACACAAATTACTCAAAATATGGGAAGTAAAAATTCCATATGGTCTTAGCAAACACTGGAAATAATATTCAGAGAGGACTATTTATCTCAGCTTAAACTCATGAACCTGAAATGTATCCTGGGAAACATTCAACACAGGGTAGGAAACAAAAAGTAAAGAAGCAGGGGAATGTTCTTGTCTGCAGGAGAAAAGTTAATGTGCCAATATTTGAGATAAAGTTCAGAATATGTTTAAGAAACCTTCTTCCCCCTGTATTCATATCCCAGAGTTTGTATGAGCAACAAAAATAAATTTGTAATTTTATAACTAGTTCAGTTTCACCTGAGTTTTTCAGGAAAGAAGCAAAGAAACTAAAACCAAATGGAAAATCACAATGACTGCCAAAAAGAGACACAAAGGATTTTAAAATGGAATGTTTGGAAGCAGAATTTAGGCTAAAAGTGTGATTAGTTAGCTAAATGTCTGTGATAATTTTGAAAGTCCCATCACTTTTATCTCTTCACTCAAGGAAGAAATTTTAAAAATTCTGCTCTTGCAAAATTTGTAAGCTGAAAGCTTTCCTCAACAAACAGAGGTTGTTAGACAAATAAATACATTAATATTTCAAAGAACATAAAAAATAAGTACCAACAGGATCCTTGCCAAGAATAGGGAAAAGCTCTCTGATTCAGTTGGGTTCATTGATAGCCTGATCAGTACACACAGCTATTGTTTTAGCCTGTTTTCCTTATCTTGGAGTGAAATAGGTGGGGTTTTTTTCCCCTCCCTCTGTGATAATTATTTTTGACAGTTTCACTGTTTATATGTGAAACTGAGAAACTGTTAATTGAAATAAAAAATGAGTCACTGCTTCCAGCAAGTTTTGCCAATGTTTTGATCTGTGTCAATCTGAGCTTAATAATTAAAGTTTTCTTTAAAGGAAGAGGCAAAACTGTATATTTTAATTTGGCCCCATACAGATACTGTGCTGCTCAGTTTAAGAATATGAAATGCTGCTAAGTAGGACTGAAAATATATTTAATGACTATGCACCAGAGACTTACAGTTAAAAATAACGCAGATGAGAAAATACATCTTTTTTTTATCCTTCCTTTTGTTTTTTTTAGAAAAGGATATGAGAAGCCTTTATAGCCTTTCAGCAGATCTGATTAACCATGATATATGCTCTATCACTAATGATGTTGCCAAAATCAACGTCTCTGGGCTGTGAGAGGGAAACCATGTGGAAAGCCAATTGTGTGTCGTAGGCGAGGGGCAGGCTCTGCGCCCTGTAGCCATCCACACATTCCCCTGGTGTCTGCTCTACAAACACTCATCTGCTGTCATAAACTTGCATAGGAATTCCTCGGTGATTTTACTGTTAATGCACAAATTTGGCTTGGCAGAAATAGGCTCTGAGATAGCAGAAGTGCGAGGAAAGATTTTCCCACATGTTTACGAGCCTGGGGTGTACATGAGAAGGAATTGGGGGGCAGAGGGAAAAATGGAAATAAAAAACGCCTTTATATCCACAAAGGAAAAATAATAATTTTTTTTAATTGTCCTGGGGGTGGTTGAGGAAGCTGAGAACTGTTGTAGAAATCTGTCTCAAGAAGGCATTTTCACAACAAATTTAAATAACTCTACAAAAAACCGCCACATCTAGTGAATATACTTGGCAAAATATATTTTAAAAGATGCAATTATTTGAACAGAAACACAGCACACAGTCATGGGCCAGTGACATCACTGGACTTGGGAAGAGAGAAGGTTGCAGCTTTTCTATGTCACAACAAATTTTTCTTTGTTTGTTGGTTTATTTTTGCATTTGTTTTTCCAAATCAGTATAGCTCCAAGAACTTTAAGAAACTATTCGCAAAACAAGAGGCAGATAGTCCGACTCCTGAATGCTCTTGCTGTCCTTAGACATGGAAACACTCTTACAAGCAGTGGAAAGATCATTGAATCAGGAATAGCAGAAATTTCAACCTACCCCTTCCACTAAACTCCTGGCTATTCCCAAAAGCAGGCAAATTTTCCAGTTTTGCCAGTGACTTTCAAGCTTCTATTGATTTATAAGCTCCCAAGTGTTTTCTCTAACTCCTATGTAAGTGGAGGAGCCTGACAAAAATGAGTAGTAAAGCACATCAGCCCTTTGTAAAGCAGCACAGACTACAGCGCAGATCTCCCAGCAATCTGTTGCAGGCAGCACCAGCCCGCTGCTCAGCAGCAGTGCCGACGCACGGCGTGTTTGAGCAGCAGGCTGCCCCTCACACCCCCAGCCTCTCCCTGTGACTGTATCCGGCTGTCCACACCTTGTCTGTGGGCTGCTGGAGCATGTGTGCTTCCCAGCATGAAGCTGCATCTCTCCTGTGGGACACTGAGCCACTCACCCCAGGTCAGGGACAAGATGGACATGGAACACTCGCCCATCACAGCCATCACTGCATCAATCTCTTAAGCCTTTGAAACTTCTCATTTTCTTCTCCTCTCTAGATGCAACAATATATTCAGTGCATTCACAGGTTCTGTGCCTGCCTTTGGGCTGCTTCACTGTTCATACTTTCTGGCTCTTTCTACTGTTCTTTCCTGGGCACGCTCCAAAATACCTGTCAAAATGAGGTGCTCTAAATCAGCGTGCCCGCCAAAGGCTTAGGCTAAAGCCTAAAAATGAGGACAAGGTGCAGGTTTTCCACCACTGCTGCCTTGCCATGGGCATTTTAGGATTTGTTCAAGGACAAACTATTGTTCAGCTATGAAAAATAAACTCTTTTAACTGTTTCTCAAAGCAGCTTAACACATAGATTTCTGACTAAAAGAAGTTACAGGGATTACATATGAAAACTGTGTGCACTGAAGACATTTTTCTGGTTAAATGAATTCAGGAATCACTTGTACTGATACAAAACTTCTGCAATCAACCAAGCAGGTTGTAGAGCTGAAGAATATCTTTGTGAAACAGAACAGAAGAAAAGAACAGTGCCAATTACTGAAAGGAACTGGAACATAAAAGAAATATTTTCTATCTCTTTTCTCTGAAAAATGAATAAATGAGATGGAATGGTTATTTTGATATAAGGATAGCCAGGTATGAATTGCAGCTCCTGGTTTTGGTAGGAGGGCTGAGGAAAGACACTCAGCTTTCAGGAAGTGATTACTTGGAAGCAGCAGACAAAAGTGGACGTCCATCTCTTAAACAAATAGCTAAATGCATGCATGCTGTTTATAGCTCACTGTGCATTTAAAGAAATTAAGGTGTATTTTTCACAACCTCTAGCATAAATACAAGGTAGTAAAACTTTGACACTATTACCATATCAGATAGTGACCACAGTTTCTGAAAAACATGTACATTAAAAATGTTAGAACCATTTATTTGCGACAAGAGAAATCTTCATACCATACACACAGCAGGGTATGCCTTTAGGGAGAAAGACCAAAAAAATCCTGAGTTTGACCTTTTTTCTATTTAAAACTCTATCTTTCTTTCTCTGTTGCCCTTCTTCCATACCTCCCTCATCTACCTATGAAACCATTTACTTAATTACCAGGAAATTAAGCAACTAATCAGCTACAGTTGTTACTATAGTTTTTCTCCTGATTCATTTCATTGACTAGTTTTGCTTTGTTGCTCCCCAAAATTGTTTAAGCCATCTGTTCTAGGTATTGCAATTCAAAGTTATCGTTTGCTTGCACAAGGAATACAAAATTTTCATTGGGGAAATTTCACCCAGGCAAATTATTTTCTAAAATTGTTTCAAATCAGTCAAAAATTTGAGGCATTAGCATCCCATGAATCCCTGCATTGTCCGTTTAACATCTGAGCCCAGAAGGCTTTCTGCTGTGCTCTCAGCATCCCCATGGTGAGGAGCATCCCTCTTGGAGGCAGCTCCTCACCACAAAACAGTCAGTGCCACCAAACTGTCTGCCCAGAGCTGAAAATCCTCCATGCTCAGACAGTTATCATTAAAGCCCTTGAAACTGAAGCTGCAATTCAAACTCTTCAACAAGAAAAAAAAAAAAAAAAAGAAAAAGAAGAAAAACACATTTCTTCATCAATTTAACTCCTTTCCGATTCTGGTATAAGCTTGCTTGAAGTTTCTTCATCCCCTTCAATCACAGCTAACTGACGTCTCCTGTATGTTTACAACCCCATTTTTCCATTTACAAAGGGAAGCAGAACACACTGGGATTGCACTGGAGCAAGTAATAAACGATACTATATAAAGTACAATAATGACTAGAAGAGAACATGAAGGCAATTCAGCAATTACTCAGTGAGTTCAAGGAGCACTCCTCTGACATCTTCAACTGCACATAATGATAGAGCTCAATATCTTTTGTACCATAATAGGAAATATTAAAAAAAATCTTGCATTAAAAAATGCAAAAGGAGAACTCACCTATTATAAACATAGACCACGCTACAGGCAAGACTCATTTTTATATCTTATTAACAAGAAAGTTTTTGTGCTTATTACTCTAGGGATACTTCATTGTAAAAATGAAGTATGCAATGAAGAATGCACATTTTTATGCAATTATCCTCAGTATTGTTAAATAATTCTTTGCTTCTGAGCAGGTGCCTGAACTTTATGATCAGCAATGACTGAAGGCAAGGCACTGTGATCTGTCAGTGACAGAGTCTCTTTTTTCCCCAGCACACGGCTGTATTGCCATTTGCTCTCCTGGAACTCCTTGCCTTGCCGCATCGTTACCCAGCAAAGAAGAAGGGATTGATCCTACTGGGATTTGTCGCTTTTCTGTACATCAGTTGGTAAGAATTTAAGTATTTTTTTCTCCAAGTAATCTACTTTTTAAAATAAGGCCCAAATGCTGTACTTTTGACCAAAATTTCTCAACAGTCTTTTCTGTGGAGAAATAATTTAAACTTCAACTGAGACCTATGAAAACTATTTCCAAACATAAGCAAGGCAGGTTTCTTCAAACACAGTATAGGTCCTGAGAGCTCACACAGTGTCTCCTGCTCTTGTAAGGCCTCTTAAAGGAAAGTAACTAAACTGCCATTAATTCAGGGATAATTTGAGTAATTTCTTTTGGGCTGGAGTTTTTACTTCTACTGGCACCATCAAATTCACCTCCACTCACTGTCCTGCTTGCTGCTAAACCAGAAAATCTCAAAAGGTCTGGAGGTCATGGGAGCAGGAGAGAAGTAAAACTCAGTTCAGTGTTTGGCAGGGACACGTGGCTGGTTTTAGAAACTTGAGACAGAAAATGATACTCTGAGCCAGGTGCAAACTGGTGGGTAGTGAGGAGACATCTGCCCACCACCACCTCCCACTCCACCAGTGGACACTGCCCACATTTCCAGCAATGCATCCATTGATCCCCAGCCTGTTGGAGAATGATACTGAGAAAATAAGCTATATCTAATCAGCACCTCTCACAGCTCATAGCCATCTGTCCACCTGCTGTGTGTGTGTCATGCACCCCTGGAGTGGGTTTGCTCATTGCATCCTGGTTGCAGTGCTGGGATATGGAGGCACTGCCACCCCATGTAACTGTGGGCAGCTGCCAACAGCTCAAAGCTCTCAGAGGATGCCTTGTATTGAGACCCAGCTCAGGAAGAAGGCTGTATAACTTCAGGGTATTATACAACTTTCCAGAGCTGAGGAAACATCCTGGCTTTAGGGGGAACAATATAGATCATGTGTATAACAACAAGAGGATACTGGTCAGTGAGGAAGCAACTTGTCTTCATGCAAAAGTTTCTGAGAAGTCACTGGAGCTAAGAAGAAACCCATCCTTCCCATTCCTACTCACCAATTCTCACTCTCATCTAGACACCATCTTCAGCCCAGTGAGTGAAAATCTGAAACAGAAAATAAACTGTTCAGATGAAAGACTGGAGTGACTTGAAGCCCATCAGTGGCTGTGGAAACAGGGGACTTCACCGATACATTACATAAGCAAATTAGGAGCCATTTATTCTAATCCTGCCCAGAGCCTAATAGGATTACGACCATGGCTTCCTAAATTCCTTTTCTATGTTCTGATTCACCCCATTGCTTAATGCCAGCTTTGTTTTACTTGTCTTATGACAACATTTGGGTTTTACTGTCTTTGAGACCAGACTGCCCTTACAGCCATGTGAGCCATGCTTTCCCCTAAAATCCCTATCAGCTGAGCAGTTTCATCCCTCAGGAGACATGGCTCATATCAGGACCTGAATCTACACCAAAGAATGAACACATTGGAGCCCTCCCAGTATCTTCTATGAGCTGGTGCTGCATTTGTTTCCAGGGTCCTGAGAGGAAGGTGGTCCCTTAGAGTGCTTGTCCCCTGTGTGCCAGGGCCCTGATGAGTGGATAAAAGATATTAGGATGTCAATACAGTTTTCAAATCAGCAAGGAACCTCCTGCCTGCTTTCTTTTTGCCTCTACTTCATGGTTCCCTGCAAACCACAGATAACAGCTTTCAACCAACAGACAAATTTTCTGTCCTGTGCCCTGAAATCTTAACACATGTACATATTTTACTGTTGGTGCTACAACCTGGTGATTTAATAGCCCCATTTGGGCACCATATGTTTCACAAGCAACAGAGTCCTTGCTCCAAGCGTCTCCTTGGACTGTCACTGCCATCGCTGCAGCGCCAATGGGCTGAGAAGTGACTCGTCCCTCCAAGGCAGCAGAGAAACTGAGCAGCCACTTACACCTAGCAGCAGACACCTGCCTCTGAGCAGGGTGTCACTGTGGCTTTGAACAGTCATTTATTTGGGTCTGGAAATACAGGTTGGAGTGCTTCATATGAGACACACCAGCTGGCCAAATTGCATGAAGATAACCTAGTTCCTCGTTGTATAAAAGAAAGGTGGTTGTCATTCTCTGTTTTACTGTTGGAGCTACAATATGAAAAGAGGAGTCCTGTGCAGTGAAGAACACATGCTGACATTTGCACTCCACTTAGCACTTGGAATTCAGTGTTTCTGCTCAGCCTCTCAGGGGCCTTTCCTGCAGGCTTTTTTTCTTTTTTTTTTCTTTTTAAATTACTTAGGTGTTTCACAGCTCTGTTTGTTAGATGAAGAAATCTTGAATCATAAAAAGGAATCCCTACATTTAAAGATTTCCATGCTCAGTCCAGACAGCTCTACTATCAATCCCCTCCATTGCTCCACTCTATCCCTCAGGAGAGGATAGTAAATCTTTATTTACAAGCAAGACAAAACCACCTTTTTATGCCCCACTTCTTCCTTTTTTTTTACTAGAGAAAGGAAGAAGCATCCTTTCAGCCTTTTTTTTTCCTCCTTAGCATTCTCCCATTCCTCAGTGTCATGACACAGTTTCAGGATAGTGTGGCAGCCCATTTGTCACTTCTCTTTGAGGCATGATGCTCAGTAGCAGGATGGGTGACACCAGAAAAAATTGCAATTGTGTTGCTATGTTAGCACTAGTAGTGGAAAGTATGGCATAATACTCAGATATGTTTTTTTAAATGAAGAATTAAACTTTTTAGGACCATTTGGACCCAAAAGTTTGTTTTAGGGAAGTACTGTCCTTGTTAAAATGGCACATCCTGATAACAATCAATGAAGACATACCCTATTTCTTAAATTCTTTACATAATCAATACAAATAATTTTATTCACAAAAAGTATTCACAAAAAAGCATTTTTCCTATACTTAAGATATATAAAGATCACTTCTATATTCTTTAGTTCAGGCATTCTCTATTAACCACTCATATGAGCCATAAACAATGAACATATTACCAGCAAACTGACAGCCACTACAAGATATTTTCTGAGAGAATAAAAAAGGCAGAAAGAGAGAGCACAATCAGAAGAAAAGAAACCCTATAAACCGGGCATATTAATCTTCTTTCTTTTCCAAACCATGCTTTGCAAACAGTTCTGGCACAAAAGGGTGAAGCAGCCACATCTGTTTCCCACCTAGCCATTCTTCTTCTTTTCCTTCTCTTACAAAAGAAAAGCTGCTGGAGAATTCCCCTTGCTCTCTCACCTTCTGAAAATTTCTTTCCACTCCTCAAAACAGTGGTCAACAGCAGAAGGATTGGGACAGGCAGGAACAGCTCTGTGTCCCCACAGACTCTAGGGATCTGGATAGGGGCTGAAAGGCTGTTGTATCTAAAGAGCAAACATATGTGAGAGCTTATCTGAATAAGCTTCACTAGCATAGCCAAGTGCACATCCCTGTTCCTGAGCATTTTGCTGTTTTACTGTGCTTTTACTGCTGTTAATAGCCAATGCCACCAGGGTGACAGAAAAATATTGTGTGCATTTCCACCTGCACTGAAACCCATCTAATTTAGCACTGGCTCAAGTGTGCTTCACAGCAAATAGCCCAAGTGCCGAGGAGATATATTGACAGCTGAGCTAATTTTCTCTGTATCAAGCCTGTTTTGATAACTCAGCCCCTCAGGAGCTGGAAATTTTGAAGTGGTTCTTCTAATTGAATGGTCCTAACCAAAGGTAAATTCTCTCCTTCCTTGCCTAGGGTCCTGTGGATTTATTCTGTAACAGGAGAGTGGGTATATCCTCTCTTTGCTTTGTTTAACCCCCCTGGACTAGCAGCCTTTTTTGCTGGTAGCCTTGCCATCATCGTCGTCTTCTACAACTTCGGAGAGTTCCTCAACCGTATGATATGGGGTCAGTCCAAGTTTTCTTCATTACGTCTATGCATATGAAAAAAATACCCCTGAAATGAACTGCTGTGGTTGCCCAGGCAGACAGGAAGAGGAAGGGGGCATGAGCACACTGGGGAAGGTGCTGGGATCATGGCACTTGGGGGTCAGGTTGTCATTGTTGTGTCCCACCTGCATGCTAACAAATAGAGAACAGACTGGAGCAGACAAAGGTTGGACCAGCTTCCTCTAATTTGGGTCAAGAAGCACCTCTTACCAGCATAATCACTGGGTTTTGAATTTCTGCTCAAAGAAGGGTCCAGAGAAGCGACATGTCTTGGGCTAAAACTCTTACACCTGCATCACATGTTGTTTGTCAGACTAGGGATTAGCAGCGTTTACTGCAAATTTGCAGGAATGCGTTCGTGTATCCAAGGAAAAGCACTGCAGCAGCAGCAGCTCCATGACTAAAACAGCACTTTGGAAACTTTTACAAACTGTTGAGAATTTTTCCCTTCTGCTTTAGTAGTGGTATGGCCAGTAGTGACCTAAAAAAAGTGAAAAGCAGTTTCCTTGGACATAATGGGCAGTTGGAGGGGGGAAAAAGCGTAGTTTAGGAAAGCATATTTAACAAATGGAAGAGAGAACTGAGGAAGAACCTTTGGGGGTTTGGCATGAGATACTATTAGTATTATTGTTGCTATTATTATTATTATTTCTGTCATTATTATCCCTTCTGGTTTCCTCTCCTTTTTCATTCAAGATTGAATTTTTGAGGATGAAAGTGTTTCTGTCAGGAAAACATGTGTATTTTATTTAGGACAAATGTGGGAACATTTGCAATTTCTTAAACTAGCTTTCTGATTGAAGAAAAAAACACTGCAAAAACACCTCTGAAAATAAATAAGACAACCTCCCTCTGTTCTCAGGGAACATTTGATGCATAATCCATTTTGCAAAGTCTCACATGCCTGTCAAGCCAAAGTAGAGTGTCTGTAGCTAGTCTCTCACCATCCGTACTCAGCTACCTAAAAGCAGCAGATTGGCTTTCAAATGTGCTGAATAACCAACTTCACCGCTTGCTACCTTTGCAAACAGGATGCTTGCTCTACATGTCCATGTTTGGAGATTTTGGCCACATTCTATTCTGCAAAAGCATCATATGAGATGAGGATTGCTGGTAAATGAAAACAGATCTGCAGACTTCTGTACTAGCTCTGGTTTAAGAGGCATCACATATAAATAGTAACTACTGCTAATCAAAGACTGCATCATCACCACATGATGGCATAAGTCTTTATATGAGATATCTGATATATTTATGTATCTGATTTTTTTCATCACTGAGTACATATTAGTAATTTTAGGGCTAGGGTATGCCTGCTGCATAAGTTGGAGATAATCAGAATTAAAAATAATTTGATTTCCAACGTGTTAACTGATTGGACAAAATATTGTGCCAAGCAGAGATCAAATTAACTGCAAAAATTAGATGCATATTCAACAGCTGACTAAAAAAACTTGGGCAAGCACTCAACTTTACTGTGCACACAGAGAGGCTGAAAAGCACCCCAGTTGTGGTAGCATGAATGTAACCTCACAGTACATATATAAACAATACACAATATTCTCCATTGATATCTGGTGTGCTCTTGTGATCCCTGGAGGCCTCATCTGTGTGGTGGGTCTGCCTTTCCATGCATAGTTGCTTTTTTTCAAAGGAGCCACAAAATCCTGGCCTTAACAATTACATGGTGTTTTCATCCACGTGCAAAACACTCCCCTTGAGTTACAGTTCCCCATTTTGGTACCAAGTGTTTTTACTGATCCACATCCCAGCTGTGTCCACCCAAGAGAAGAGTAGAACTTCCTTAAGCTGGTATCAATAATGAAGTCCCAATAAGCCTTGAAACATAGCCACAGGGAAGCTATTCCAAATTACAGTGTGCCAGAGTTTTAATATATTCCTGACTGAGACAAATTTTTGGTTCAGCATTGCCAGAGGAAAAAGAGCTGCAAACTGAATGAAGATGCGATTCCAACATACCTTTGTTCCCACAGCAAAAATGGCTCCGTGTACTTTTTTTCATCCTACCCTTTCCTCTCCTTCCCAATCACAATAAGACAGAGGATGCAGTGGAAATGATCCTGCAGAAAACAAAAAAAGAAAACAAGCAACCAATCAAAAAACATTCCCCACACCCCCCAAGCAAAACAATCAGTGGCGGTAGAGGACAGACCTCTTCATCTTTCCATACTCTCCACTTTGCCCACCTTCTCTCTTCCTCAAAAGATAAAATACACGGAAGGGCACTTTTGATCTCTCTTTTGCTTCCTCTTCATTCCCCAAAGGCAGTTTGGGTTACAGGTTAATACAGATATCTATTAGGTTCTTACAGAGACATCTGGAAACACCTTGTCTAGTAACACCTGAAGCCACCAAAAAATTAGACCTGATGCCGGTGGGATCTGACAAGGCAGAGCTCTCTGGCTGGGCTGCTGGCACCAGGATTCTCCTCAGTGGAAAAAAATCTGAGGCTGTTTCTTCTTTTTATTTCTTTCCCACTCAAATGAAGAACAGCTCCCCAGAGGTGTTTATTCAAAGGTGCAAGAAGCATTAACAAACAGCTCCACCAGGGTGGCAAAGCCTGGCTTCCTCCTGGACTTACATCCTGTGGCAGACCATAGGCTGCTAATCAAGCCTGTTCTACAGCAAATCATGCTTCATATGGGCTCTTCCACACTCCCTTATAACTCCAGGCTATTATTATTTTTCCTAAAACCAGCTACATAAATATGTACTCTTTTTCACACTTAAAGGTGTATTTAGTTCCAACTTATTCCAAAGTCTGTAGATGGCAGTTTCCAGCTTCAAGCAAGTACGTGTTAAATCTACGTCCTGTGCTTGACCGAAAAGATGCAGAATCATTTCCAAGAGCTGGAAAATCTAGGCTGTAGAATAATATAACCTTTTTTTTCCTTTTCAGGATGCCAGACCCTAAATTCATTTTATTATTTATAGACAAACTGCTTCATACAGCATTGGAGGTTTTAAAAATGTATTATCTCTCATGCGCCTCTCCTCTCCCTCCCCTTGCACAGTTGGATTGGTGGTAACTAAGGCAACCCAGCTGCACAGCCTGAGAGGCACAGAAAATAGTACCAGTAATGACTTCTTTTTGTTTTAAATCCCAGAGTTTCTAGAGTACAAGACAATGTTGAGCAATAGAGAAACTCCAAAGAGGATAATTTGAAACAATGAGCTGATTCTTTTACTGCCATAAATTTACCTCAGCCAAGAACTTGGCTGCAGGGTCTGAGTACCAAAGATGAACCGTGTGATCGTTTCTCCCCTTCCTGATGGGTGGAAAACATCACACAGGCAACTGATCTCATGTTTCTTCGACCCGTCAAACTAGAATCCTCAAAAATAAAGCAAAGCAGTGCTTGCTTGGGGTTTGCTCTGTTTGGGACAATCAGATCCTTGGGAGAAATTTGGATCAAAGTTCTCCACATCAGACAGAGCAACCTTTCAAATGAGGTCTCTTATCTAGAACTCACATTTGAAGATGGAGCACATTCATTTGTCTTCCATCTAACACATCTGAAAAAAACCCCAAAATAACATTCATCAGCTGCTTCATTTCAATACTCTGAAATGCAGCTGGAGAGGAGCTATAGCTAGCAACAGCTACTTGCTCCAGCAGTGATTGAAAAGCCTCCTGATGCTTTTGCCTCTATTTGCAAGATTTTGTGGGCCCAAGGGCTCTCCCAGAGAAATGCTTATCCCCACATGGTGGAACTGTCCTTTGGGAGAGAAACGGGAGGAAAGAATGCTGATTGCTGGAGTGGGCAGCAGCTGCAAGAGACCCAACCTAGGTGCTTGCTGTCCACTAGAAGGAAAAGCTTTGGCCAGCAGCAGGCTGAGGAACACTGTCAGGGGAAAAACAAAAATTAAAGATATTATATTGCAAGGGGTAAGGCAGCTCAACAGGAATGAGAGCCATTGCTTTCAGGAAAAAGAGAAAACTTATGGTGGAATACCTTTCTCATGCTCAGTGCATAGATGGATGCACTCTTCCAGATCTTCTATGAGCTCTTAAATATCTTGGGAAGACATTGCTGAAACCTATTTACCTAAGGCTGAAATAAAGTTAAACAACATTCTTCTCTCTAGCCTGTTTTTCCTCTTTTTGTTTTTTGGAGTTCTTTTGCATTCAGCGCATTTTCCAGAATCATATAACATGTTTTCACAACTGATTATTTTCCCTGAGCTTTATTTTTGTATTTATGGGCTTTTGAAACCAAGCTCCCTTAATACCCTGTAGCCTTGGGAAATCCAGCCTATGTGACAGCTCACAAATCTGTGCAATACAAAGCAATACTATAATAAGATTGAATTCTTGATGCTGTCATTATTCTGAGCAGCTGTTGGGATTGCAGAAACCCGAATGGCAAATGAAGGGATGCAAAGGGCAACTGTGTGGGACATAAAGCCGTGCCACCATTGTACTGGTACAGGCTTATCAACAGCAGGTTTTGTATGAATGTTAAAATGCTGATGTTATTGCTCCAGACACAGGTTTCACCCTTCGTTATTACAGTATCCAGAAGGGATTTTTAAACTGAGATTCCTTTCCAGGGTATTTGTTGTATCCTGCCAAGAATAAGAGTCTAGAGTCTATCTATTCATTTCAGTGACCAAATGATGTTTATATCCATAATTTTCCTATATTGCAAATGATTAATGGAACTCAGATTTTACAGGATTTAAATCCCAGAGTTTGAAAACTAAATATGAGTATTTATTTTTGACTCATCCTAGTTGTACCACAAACCTGTGATGGCACATTTATGTCCTTCATATTTGTCACTCCCAAAAGCTGCAGTTTATTCCTCAGGCAGAGATGATTGACTGTGTGAAGGAAACTTGCACTGTTTGTCACAGGTCCTATTTTTGGTGATAAGTTTATCTGGCAATCCACTGGAGGCAGACTGGACCAGAACCTCTCACAAACCAGAGCTTACAAATTCATCAGTGGAGGCCAGACATTAGGAAGTACTGGTTAACATGCTGGTCCTGGCCTGCCAGGCTATTTTCTTTCTTTGTGGTTTGGATTTTTTTCCCCTCACCCATAAATATCAATTTGGTCAGTATATACGAATACAACACAGCAATTAGTGTTTCAGAGCCTCTGAGGTCCATGGACAAGGAAAGATCATTTAAAGGAGAGTTTCCTATGAGTGAATATGAGGGGAAGAAGAGAGGCTGAGACAGTGTGTTAGAAAAGACACCCATGAACAGTTGATTATTGGTTGGCCCACAGCAGCAAAAAAGCTGCTGCTTCAGAAAGCTGTGGGATTTCAGTAGGTCCTGTGCTGTCCTGACCAGCCATGTGAGGATCCTCCAGCTTTTCACATGCTCTTACAACAAGCTAGGTTGGCTGGGTGGCTGACACTTTCTCCCTCTGGCAAAGCACAATTATTCTCAATGGGTGTGGCCCATGGCAGATTTCAAATAATTCCTCAGTCGTTGAGTAATCTGTTACTTGCTGGGGACATCCCAGGCTCATTTGACTTCTGCAGCACTTCAGCATTAGCAGCTGGTCCAAGACATGCACTTGCTGTTCACTCCCACTCCCAGATGGGTAGAGTTCCCCAGGGATGTTGGGAGGCTTGGGCCAGTTTCACATCCTCCCCATCCCTGATGTGTAAAAGGACTTCTCAGTTGTGCCTTCCCCTCAGGTCCCAATAATGTCTTCTCCTCTGTCTCCAAACAGGAGATTCAATAGTAATACTGGACCACAAGTGGAAAGGCAAGTGAATCCTCCTCTTGAAGCCAACAATCCCTCCATGAATTCTGAAGCCATGAAGTAGAGGAAAATAAACGTAGCTGTGATAAATCCTTTCTCCAATGCATTGCAGCTTCTGGTGAAGCCATTATGACATCAGACATATGGAAAACTGGTGGAAAATATGAAATGTTTGCCTCTTTCATGATAACTCTGCAACTGCTATGAATAAGAAAATTGTGTTCATCTGTTTACACAGATTTCTCATCTCTTGCACAACGTGCGTGAGGATGTGTCCATGGTTAAAAGTTGTCAGTGGTAAATGCACTCCCTCATGAGCCTCACACCACTCTGTAAAAGACCTGTGAATGCAAGCCAGCTCTTGTTTGGATTGCCCTTCATCAAGTCTGGAAAAAATTAAGAGGAGAGATAATTTTAACCCAAGCTAGCTAGATAACAAATTGGGCTAACAAGCACTGTAATTAGAAATGTCTGCTCAGAAAGTTCACCAAGAAGCCGAGTACTTCTAACGAGAAACTTTCTGTAATATTAATATGCTTATTTTATGCTCAATATCTCCCCTCCATTTTAACAGGAAATCCGAAGGCAACAATTTCTTCCTTTTTCTTGGTTTCAGTTAATCTCGCAGCAAAAGTAACCTAATTATACTGACTGTATGATTGCTTTGACAGAAAGCATGTTAATTTAAAGCACTGTTTAACATAAAGCTGCCTGCCATATAATTACACTCCATTCACATGTTTACTAATTTTCCTCAATATAGTTGATTTCTGTTATTAGCCTCAACATTTTGTTAACATCCAAAACACTGGAGATCTGCTTTGCAAACTCCAATAAACATGCAAAACCGAGAGTAGCACAAGTGGTGGTCAATGTGAAAAAGAAAAATCTCTTGTATTATTCCTGCATTCAAAGAGGATTTGAAACTAGTTGCAGTACTTAAATGTCTAAATCCATCCTCATTGCCAAAACCCCTCGCTTAGTGCTACTGTGCACGCTGTTCACCAGGGTGTTATTTTCACCTTTCAAATGCCGCTGGAGCTCAGTAAAAACAAAACACATTGTAAGCTGCCTGTGTGCAATAAAAAGATAATGTGTATACATAAGATTGTTCTTCTCATGTGTTAAGCACCTGATAAAAATTCTAATCTGGGAAGTTAACATGCTAGGCCTAGACTATAAACTAAATGAACTCAATGAGATGCGTGCATGCATTCAGTAATTCCCAGCCTATCTAGATAACCCGCTCCAGCTAACTTTGCAAGGGGAATGTAAGCAATTACACATGCCCACACACAAACACACTCCTCCCTCATTTTGTGTTGAAGCTGAAAGATGCTGGTCAGAGGAAATATATTGGAGAGACAGACAGAAGAAAAAACACAGAGGGAATTAGGGAAGAAGAGAAAGTTATGGGAACTGCCTGTACAGGTTTGTTGGGTGTTTTTGTCTCTACCTCCCTTGTTTTTAAAATAATTTGTTTTGTACTGATACTCCAGTACAGTTTAATTGTCAGAAACTCAAAACAAAGCCTGGGCCCCAGCACAGACTGATAGGTCTTTCCACTTCCAACCAGAGAAGCCAAATGACAGACCTCACCCTCAGCTCCTGCTCACACCAGTGATACCTTTGGGATCTGATGTGGTGGCTGAGCTGCTGGACTACAGGGCTTTGAGGAGAATCACAGGGGAGGTTGTTTATTTCTTTGAAAAAGGCTCAGAAGAGGCACTTCTTTCTGCTACATCCTGCATGGAGAGAAGCTGGATTCCAGTCATGCACTTTGAGAAATCAATGAGGAATGCCTGTCCCCAAAATACAGCTGCTGGGATCTTGGATTTGCTTTGTTCCTTTCTCTCATATTCACAAAGTTCTGAAAGGAGGAAAATGTGTCATTGCTCACAAACCAACATTTTCCCCGTGATTTTTCAAAAGGCCTTACGGAGACACCCTGTGTAAGGATCTGGCCTTGACGACATTTACACCAGATTTCTCTTTCCAGTCCATCAGTCTCTCCCATTTCATTTTAAGCGTGCGAAGCCAGTCAGAACTGTTTATTTATAGCCGTAGATGTTCGTGGCTGTATAAATTAGCTGTTATTACCGAAGGAGGTACCGCCCACTCGCCCAGAGCAGCTGCCCAGGAGCCCTTTCATGCCGCTCCACGGAACGCAGCCCCAGCAGGCAGGGAAACGACACTGTCCCAGGCAGACGGAGGGACCATGGCTCAACCCCCTGAGAGAAAAAACAGCAATTAATTTTTTCCACAGTGCAATCTGCAGCATGACAACCACAATTACCTAATACTGTTTAGACCTGCCACTTGCATTTGGCAGAGAGAGAGAGAGAAAATGAAGGATTAAATTCACCAGAAGAAAAAAACCCACCCAGACTAGAACCTACTCCTGGACTTTTGTTTTATAAGATTAAGCGATATTTGTTTAGAAGGGGTGAGGGGGAAGGGACAGTGGGGGGATGGAAATGCAAAACGTTGTTATTTGAGACAGAGCACCATCAGAAAATAAGAACCCATCCCATACACACAAACACAGAGCTGTTTCCAGCAGAAACAGCTGGAAAGCAATATCCACCACCACGAGGAGCTTTCATCTTAACTCACACCTTTGTAACAGTTTACTTCCACAAAAAAACATAGGCAAGTGTTAATTTATTCCCTCCCCAGTTTCCCACACAAATTTCTTAGTTTGGGTCTCTGCCAGAGCTTCAGGGTCACAATGTGACCTCAACAACATAATTTAAGATTGTTCCAAGCCTTCAGTGGAACTACTGAGGATTTACTTTGATGGATATGGAGCCAGGATCTGGCATGCAGAAAATATGCATTTACATTCTACCAAAGTGTCTAAAATAGTTGCCCAGGGATGCTGAAATTCAATTTGAGACCTTGTATTCACTTGGCAGAGCACATAATTAAATATTTTGTGCCACAAAATTAACCAGACTCTCAGGGGTATGGGTAAGAGACGGCTTAGAATCAACATGAGAGCCAAACTAAGACCTACTTCCCAGGCAAGTTATTCAGTAAATATTGGAAAAAAATCATTGCAGTCATAGATAGGTTCATAACAATTTTTGTTAGTATTTAATCTTGCTGATTATCTGTAGTAACCTCTTACCTCAGAGGAAGAGGCTGTCGGCAGTGTGGATTCATTTAAATAACCCCAATATCAAGAACTACTCTTGAACTAAAGCTCCTCCTTTACAGCTAAAAACTGTTCTTGAATTGACCATTTGGAAAGAAGCATCAGGTAAAAACCAAATACAATCACAATAGGCCAGACCTCAGAACAAGTGGTTAAAAGCCCTAAAGTGGAATTTTTGCCATTTGAGGTCTCCAGAGACCCTACACTGCAAAGCGTTCAATGTTCCTGAAAAGCAAACCAAATTCCTTTTGTGTTTGATGTCACAGCTCTTCAGATTTCAGACATGGTGAGTCTAAAAACAAGGGTTTGTATTAAACCCCCAGGATATGGCCCAATAATAGTTCTGAACTATAAAATTTCATGGTAATACTTGGTGTTTCAAATGTCACTTTCTATCAAATGCTCTCAAAACATAAACATAAAGCTGCCTGCCTTGTTTATGAAGCTTTCAGCAAAGCTTCAAGTTCCTTTCACATTGAGAGGGCAATTTCCCTCAGTACCTGGAGAACAGCACACATATAAGAGAATAATGCGTTATTTTACACCTAAGACAAGCAGAATTACCTCCTCCAAGGAAGCAGGACAATATCGTTTCACTGTTGGTATGGACTAGGTTCCTTAGGCAGAGGAGAAAGAAACTAATATTTACCGACACAAGACTGCTTCTTGAGATGTTAGTTCAAGATTAGATGCTTTTTGAGATGTTAGTTCAAGTTTTTGGTGTGGAAACCCCCAGTGGGTGTGCAAAAGCATCAGTGCTCAAGGGAGGAAATGAAGACACGTGTATAAAAGGAGCTTCATGGTTAAGCATTTCTTTCCACCAGGCTTTTCTAGCTATGGACAGAGTGAAGCACAATTGTGGAACTGTGCTTCAAACAGGGAAGAACCACACTTTCAACCGTAGAGGTATTAAGGTTGGAAAAGATCTCTCAGATCATTGAGTTCAAACATTAATCCAGCACTGCCAAGTCCACCACTAAACCATGTCCCAAAGTGCCACATCCACGCGTGTTTTCAACACCTCTAGGGACGGCGCTTCCACGACTCCTGTGGGCAGCTAGCTCCAGCGCCTCCAGCGCTCCATGTCCTCGCTGTACCGCGGTGCCCAGACGCGGA